TTGGTAAATTGAAAATGGAACGGATATGAAATCTATGGCTTGGATGAGCACTGGAGCTGGGAACCAACCACCGGGCCCGTTTGCCGCCCCATGTGATTGGTGGAGCTAAGAAAAAAAGCGCACTTTACCGAATGTATCCAAATTGGTCCCTCGGAGCGACCAGTCGTTCGGTGGCGTCCACGTTAAGTGCGCGGACTTTACCGAAAAGATCTACACACGTGCGTCTGCTCCAAGCCGGCCGAGGACGGCGACCAAGCGTGGGCAGGCGCCATGGGCAGGCGCATGCGATCGCGGCTGCTGCCAGTGGAACGAAGCAGCTTGGACGAACTCAGGGCTTCTGCTGCTGCTACGCAGTCCTGCAAGGCGTGAGATGCCAGTGAAATACCTCTACTACTCGAGATAGCCTTGGTCATGGCTCGCCACGCTTGAGATGCGCTTGGCTTTATTATAGCTTGGACCCGCATGGGTGGGCCGCGACCGCAGTGGGAAGCGCTTGTTTAGCCTTGAATACATGGTAGGCAGACCCATTTAGCTGTCGTGAGGATGGACGCGAAACCAACGTGGGGCCGCCGAGACAAGCCTGGCGGGCCGCTCCGACGAGGATATAGTCAAGCAATGATCGCTCGAGCAGCGTTCGAAATGTGATATAAAACAGCGGTAGTGATGACAGCCTTCTTGACGCCCGGGTTGGCATAGTGCTTGACAGCTCGGGCTTGATGCGAGCCGAGCGCGTCGTTGCACGTGCCAAAGGGCACGGACACACGGCGAGGAATTTAAGACAGTATGATACAAGTGTACGCATCGCTTAGCATCATTAGCTGACGTAGTGTTGAAGTAGCCGTTCGTAGTTGCTGCAGGCAGCCGCTTGTCATCGATCGGGGTCCAACGCCGCCTTGTTGTGCTTGTGCAAGGACACTAGGGCAACAAATACGGGAACTAGAAGAAACCAGCGTACTAGCGAGCTACACATGTAATACCCCAAACTTGCAGCGTTGCCGTCGATCCGACAATCGTGCTTCTATCTGTCTTTGAGCGAAACGGGTTTCCTTGCATGGGATGCCTGGGCTGCTGTCATGCGCGTCGTGTTATTGCCGGTGTGTCTGTTGATATGTATATGTACTTGTATGATCTTCTCGGTCGCCTTGACGTTGCTGATGAACCAACGCGACTCTCATGATTGCAAGCCACATCAGCAAGCGTCTGCTACGACGCAAGAACTCCATCAAGCAAGGCATTTATCAGAACTCACTGCCGGCGGTGTCCGCTCCATCAACAAGTCGTCTTCGCATGTGCTCGCCTCCGAGACCAATGCACGTACATTGCCTCACGGAGGGTACTGTACGAGCATCGACCGTCGTGGGCTCCAGGACCGAGGTAACGTCATTAGCACTGCAAGACGACTGCTGCGAAACGCAAGGTCGACCAGTTCAGCACTCCTATCTGCCGTCCTCTCGACGAGGTGGTTCTACCGACATAAGGCTACTTGGTACTAGCAGTACACATATGTCTACTAGTCCGTTTCTCATCCTTGAACACGCTTCTGATATACACAAGAAGATGCTGGAATTTGTTTTGGGTAGAAGCAAGGTAAGAATCGACCTCGTTGAGTGCACGTTGATGCCCGACTGGACTCGCGTCGGAGTTGGCTGCCGTCAATAGCGCCATAGGGCTTGGGCATTAACCAGCCCTACACGACGCTTCACGCGACACGATCTGCATAACGCTTGCTGTCATGGTTTGCGCAATGCAGGTTGCATTGAACTGTTTAAGAGTAGTTCCGCGACGGATCCAGTTTCTACCTTTCTAACAAAGCGGCGCCGCTTAGAGGTCGCCGGGAAGGACCTCAGTGACGCGCAAGACCGTGACTTGGCGGCGGTACCCGTTCCACCGGCGGTAGTTCTTTCGGCGCTTCTTCTTGAAAATATCAATCTTTTCGTCGAGCGTTTGCTCTTCGACACGGGCTTGGACCTTGGCACCCGTGATGAACGGGCGGCCAATGATCGTCTGGTTGGGCGAGCCGATCAAAAGCACCTAGAGACAACGCTATCAGATTTGCCATCGACTTGCGCAGTCGCGTACCTCGTTGAGGTCCATGATCGTGCCGACCTTGGCGTCGATGATCTTTTCGGCAATGACCACGTCGCCCTGCCATAGACCCGAGTGAGCTACATCTTATCGGCGAAGCGAGCTGCAGCGTACCTGTGTCACCTTGTATTGCGTGCAGCCCAATTTGACGACGGCAAAGATATCGCCGGCAGCCGCCGACGCGCTCAAGGTGGCGTCGGTCTGCGGGTGGCGCACGATGGAGAAGCTCGCGGGCGTGGCGGCGTCCGACGCGAAGGCGCGGAAGGCAACCGGCATCAGCGGGCGCGAGGCGCGGGCATGGGCGAGCGCGCGGAACAGAGCCATCTTTTGCTGAAGAGCGCAGACCACCAATTGCTCGAAAAGGAACGAGGTCGCCATTTCCAACGCCATTTTGGCCAATCACATGTCGACCTTTCTAACCGACTCGAGAGGACGGTTCCGCAACCGAAACGGATGCAAACCGGTGATTCGGTTGCAACATATTACACTATTTTACGGTGTCTCGAGGTGGCCCACGACCACATCATACGTAAATAGTGTCATTGAAAATGTGCCTTGTTGGCCTGTCTACAGCGATCCGCTTTGTGCGTCCTACACTGGTACTACCTTCGTTGGACCACAGTCTGCATAATGGGATTGGATGCTTTCTGTAGTATGGGCGCACGATGGACGTGTCCTGGCGCCGTGTGATGCTCCAAGGCTTCCAAACGGCTACCGCCGAAGCTTCCGTGGCGTGCGCGTAGCCACGTGTCAGTCGCGCAAATGCTTGTTCGGCGCTTGTCTAAAAAGACCCAAGAATCTTTTTCGCGGACTGCACGCGAGAAAGAACCACCCTTGTCGGCGCGGACAGCAGCAGCTTGAATCTCACGCCGAGCCTCGCGAATCTCAGCCGCGCGTCCTGTTTCTTCTGCGTTAGCAGGAAGGAAGGCGCGAGCCAACCAAACAAACGCTGTTGCAAGTTCAACTCCGCACGTGCGTCCAAGTGCGCGCGTGTGTTTACCAAGCGCGAGCACTTCCGGCGCATCTTCCGGATACGAGCGACAGCACGCCATACGATTCGTCCGTTGTAGCCAATCAAACGGCAGAGATCCCTGCGAAGCTTCTATATTCGGATATTCACAGCGAGGGCGGCTACTGATTGGCCGTGGCCGCACCCACTCTTGGGCAGCCAATGGATGTCACCGCCATACAAACTTGCAGTGTGTATGGTCTGCGGCCAGCAAGCGCTGGGCTCGTTTATTTTAAATCGTCCGCCGAATTCATTGAATGAGCAATACAAAAGGCCAATGATATTTTGACACGCCGACCGACGTGGCGCCATGGATTTGGTCCGTGGCGATTGACCTCGCGTTTGTATGCCGGCATGGCTCTTAGTTCTTAGCTCATTTTCGAATTTGTCTTTTCGAGCTCACGAACAAGATGGCGTCCAT